GAACACTACCATTTCTTGAACTCTATTTTTTCTTTGCTTGCTTATCTTTCATGATTAATTTTTTATTTTCACTTTCCTCTATAAGAATTTGTTAATTTAAATGCTTAAAATATTCTTCTATGAGTGCCCTACATTTTACAGCATACATTCTTTACTCATTAAAGTCTAACAATTTAGTACTTTGACTCCTGCTCAAACAGCAAAAAGACTAACTACCCTCTACTTTTATTTATTGCTTATGCAATATTTGCCCCCTTGAATTCTAATACAAATATATATTTAGATATATCAGCATAATTTCTTTTGGTCAACTCTGTCTTTCTTTCTGCATATCCAAGTATTCACCTAGAATAAATAAAAGTATCATCTTTAGAAGATCCTTAACTATTTCCTTTAGTTACAGTCAGTTTGTAATTAATTTCTCCCTTAAAAAAATTTTTCTTGAAGATGAATTTTGCCATCATATAAAAGGATATTTTCACCTATTGACTTCCAATTTATCCATGTCTCTTAGGTCATTAGGTATTGTCATTATTAGAAATAGTTACAGATATATATATTTTTTATATTTATATATGCATTCATCATATATGATATATATAAATAAATATATTTATATCATAAAGAGGAAATTCTAACTGTTCTTTTTATATTGAGTAATTTTTACTGTGGCTTTATATTGTCTGAACATAGATTTCATTAAAGTTAAAAGCCAGAAGGGTAAACGCATACTCTTACATGTAACAAGGGCCGTGGTATATATAACAGTATTTAATTGAAAACAGCACAGTGTGTGACTATAGGAATAGTAGATATAAGTACCTCAAATTTAAAAAGACAACATTAGTAAACTTTACATTATTTGACATCATTAATGAATACTTTAATTGTTACAATTCTATAATGTGGCTAATAGAAAAGAATAGATTATTTAGTTTATGAAAAAAATATGTAATTAAGAGAAATACACATATGGCCAGCCAACATTAGCAGCTGTTATAGAAGGCTCAAATATTAGTCCAGATTACGAAGACATAACTGTGTATTTAAATTCTATTTTTCTAGATTTTAGAAAATTAAAAATTTGAGATTGAATTCAATCTTCTAGAGACAGCATTGGATGTGAATTTCCTTGGAAATGATAGATAAACGTTCCTCCTTTACTTGATACAAGATGAGGAATGATGAAAAGAATCCCGTTTGATACAAACTAGTTAATTCAGATTTAACGTTCTATTTCATTTGATGTTGATGTGTCATTTAACTTGTTTTTTAAAAGTCTACTTTTATGCCCTCCACATTTTTTGTTTAAGTGAAATTTTTAAAAAATGCCTTTGTCTACCCCCACATAGATAGACTTGGGTTTTTGCCATTTACCACAAATATTTGTATTAAAATACACACAATTAGTTATGATTTTAGGACGAATCAATGAATAATATAATGAGTAGTTATTTAACATCTCAGTCTCTGGCATGGTGATATTGTTCTATATTTTTAACGTTTCATCCTTCTCAGAGACATTTATTTTTATCAGGGGAAATCTAAAGAACTTATTTAGAATTGTAAAATTGAATGTAGGTATTTTGAGAACTATGGTAGAGAAATTGAGAAGATAAATTTGGGAATGGATGTCTTTGTAACAGTTACAATAAAGTTGAAAATGTAATTCTTCAGAATAATTAGTGACAAATATCATTAAATATCTATTGTTAATGGGATTATGATTTTAGAATTTTTTCCATGATAATAGAAATTACATGATAAGGGTATAAGGAAAAGAAGTATGCAATGCCACGATTTAGCAACTTGTCTGAAAGTAAAACTTAAACATATAAGACACTCTCAACAAGGTCTAAGTTTTCAGTGTTTGTAATTGAGATAGAGGCAAATTAACAGCGTGGGTGGTCAAGTCTGTCCCCTGATATCTTTTAGAATATGAAAACAATGTCTCAGAGGCACTTACCAATGGACAAACTAAGTGACACACTACAAGCTCAAAGTCTCCTGTATTTTGAAGGTGTGTGAGGAGATAAACTGTCTTCAAAATAGCCTAAGTGTAATAATTTCCTGTGACACATTGACGAGAAATCTGCTCTTTCCACTGTTGCTTCACTCTGAGCCTTCACAGGGCAGTCTATGAAGACCACAGATATTGTTTGTTTACAAGAGTAACCTGGTGTCCCACCACAGGATACACCACTTTCTGGAAGGTATGTGATGCTACTCTCCTGTCTCTCTATTAGCCCATCTCATTTACTGGGAGATTACAGTGCTAGATATGATGTGACTGAGGTACAATTAATATACAATCAAATCAAAAAGAACATTGGTATCTTTATTTGAATAATTCAGGGTAAAAAACAAGAATAAAGTATAAAATATGTAGGAAGATTTCTTAAAACAAATTCTCGCCTGTGGAGGAATAGTCAAGTGCATACACACATGCCTAATTGGGTTTGTAAATCAATACAATTTAAAGTGAAATCTCATAAGCATCATGACAATGAACAGTTAATTTTGGATTTTATAATAGACAGATATAAATAGATATTGTTTTATAATTAGCCCAGCCTTTAAGAATAGATTCGTAATGAATTCATCAAATCATGAAGGTCAAAAGTAGTTCCTCATACATGTACTTAGATTAAATAAAAGTAGTTTTATTTTTAATAAATATCAGGATGAGGTACCTTCTGTAAAATGCTAGTAAAAACTTAACTATAAACAATCAAAAGATTTTTTTTTAAATGAAGAAGATAGTGCAAAAATGATGTACCACACTGATAAAGAGATTCCTGTCTCATGAATTATGTTACATGAGGTCTAATTTTTATGGTTCAGAAATAATAATATGGCAATTATGTTAAAATAACAGTTAAAATAACTAACATATTATTGAGATCTTATAAAAGCCAGATTGAGTATTAAGCGTTTTACATGCATTATATCCTACATATTTTAATTCTCATTTTAGATTAGTAAAGCAGGTTGTTAGACATTAAGTAACTTTTTAAAGGTCATACATTGTAAATTTCAAAACTGGAATTAATTCCAGATCTCACTGATTTCAGAGCTCATTGACTGAACTATTAAATTACATTATCTGATTTATTACAATTGCTTGCATAACTAAAGCTACTCTCACTGACTTTGAAGGCCATAGGATTTTTCTGGAATTTTGAAACAACAGTGTTCTTCGATAAATTGTCTACAGTTTTATTTATCATTTTATGATTTCATATCTTTGCCATTGAATCAATTGTCCATTTCTTATTTAAATTATTAAATCAATTGCCCATAATTATTTAAAAACTTTTTGGTTTTTTTGTTTTCATTATTTATTAGGTTTTGAATAAGTTTAGTGTCATGTAACATTTTTCAACATATAAAATATTTCTTTAAAATTTTAAAGATTTTTCAGATCTCCAAAATCATTCAAAATAAAAGATTATTTGATAACACCTCATCCCCTTTTAATAAATAAAAGTAAGTCACCAAATAAAAGTAATTTAGTGCAGGTAATTACTATATATGCTAACATTACTATTCCCCCAACTTGTTAACACTCAGTTTTTAACCACGAATGGATTCAAAAATTGTCATGAAAATTGGTGCATCATTTTTTTGTTACAGCATTTTAATTTTAACCTGGTTATTCTAATTCTGTTAAAATGTTTCTATGGAATCTAAATTATAAGGACATTATTATTCATGAACTTCTATATTCGTCACTAATTTATTGCTTTACATTTCTCCAATCAATAATATTGTGTCAAATATAGAATATTATTTTAAAAACTACTTATTCAGTCATGAAACACATATTTGAAGCTCTAAGGAAATTAGAACCACACTTTTACATTGTTCAATTGCAAAATGAGTACTATTACTCACCTCGCACTCCACCCATTTGACTATACTAGGCATCTTGTCATTATACACACCATTTATTAACTACTTCAGTCCAGTTTTCATAGAGCATAGTCCTTGACATCACTCAGCCACAGAGATGAATAACCAAAGACAACTCTACTCAGAACTGAATGTGGTTAAGGATTCAAGGGGACAGCAAATGAAACCTAAGGTCATTAAAAGCTCCATTTCAGTAGCTGAACAAGAAATAACTTATGTGGAATTTAGCTTTCAAAATGCTTCTCAGGATCTTCCAGGGGAAGAGAAGAACGAACACTGCAAAGGTAAAACATTTAATAGACACACAGTATAACTGTTGTAGGATGTGCAGCTGGGACACAGAGGTGTGGGGAAAGAGCAGTGAATAACCTAACATATTTTTCATATGTGAGTATCAGAGCTTGAAGCTGGAATATGGTATTCTAACATGAAATCTGAGGACTAATTTCATTCAGCCATTGTTAAGATTTGTGGTCTTTGAGTAACAACTCAAGGAGCACTATATTTACTGAAAATGCAATGGTATATTCTGAGACAAAGATTACAATGGTAGATATGGGTTTGGGGGTTCAAGTTTATGTATATGATTCCCTGTGCATGTCGGTTCTCTTATATGGAAACTATCTAAACAACTGTCTCCATCTCTCCTTTCTCAGTGTTTCCATTTCTCTCCCTGCAGGTTTACTATCACCTCCAGGGAAGCTCATTGCTGGGATCCTGGGACTCATCTGCCTTGTACTGCTCTCCAGTGTGGTAACAATGATAGCTGTTATTCCCTGTAAGTAGATTTTTGAAAGTTTATACGGGGACTTTTTACTTTAATGATCATCAGTGCCTCTAAACATTTCATAATATTATGGACTAGAATTCTCATTTTAGTATATGCTTTTAGACTAGATATGGAATGGTTATTCTGAATTTATCAAAAGTATAAATAAGAGAATGATTGTAGAAAGTATTACATATATATGTATTCTGTTTTCATAACTCAAAGACATACTTTAGAAGACTAAAAGACTTTATTGAGAAAGCAAACTAATTCTTGAGGTTGGTTAAACCCAATATTGTAAAAGATGGTGAAGTCTGGTCCTTTAGGGTTTTGAAATATTTTTCTCCCAGTCTTTATTACCTTATTAATTTTTTCATAAAATAGTATTTTTCCACATTATTCTCACTCTAAACAATACACCAAATTTCAAAGTAAGAAATTTAAATTGTGATTTAATTGGATAATATTAATTTTTATACAAATTACTTTTTTTAATACTAATTTTTCTAGCTACTGTACCTCTGGAGCAGAACGATTCATCCCTGATAACAAGGAATCAGAAAGGTATATAACAATTTTCAAAGTTCTGATATTAGTATCATTTTTATTTTGTCTCAATCTTAGGCTAGTTAAAAATGATAATAGATTTTTGGGGATACAATGAATTAAAATTGAGTAATAAATGTTCATAAATAATGATTAGAGGAGATTATTCTTCTTATGCAACAATATGAAGAAAAATCATTTAAAATCACCATACCCATTGCTGTCAACTGGCTCAAATTTCCTACTGATAAGAGATAAATAATTTTAATATTCTAAAATAGTGGTTTCATTTGTTGATTTTCAGGACATATACAGGGTGGATATTTTTCTTTGTGTATTTGCTTTCTATGGGCACATAAATTAGGAGACGAGAGGCTGACCCTTCTCTGTAACTGTGTATATGAGTGTTTTTTTGTTTTATGTGTACCAACTTGTGAGGTTGCATAGATATGTTATGTACATATATGTTTATACCTATGCAAGTCTGTAAGTTAATTTCCATTTTTTAGAACTCAAATTGCTTTGGATAACAATTCATAATCTTTCTTCAGCATATCATTGTGGTCGTTGTCCAAAGGAGTGGATAACATATTCCAACAATTGCTATTACATTAGCATTGAAAGAAAAGCATGGAATGAGAGTTTGACGGACTGTGCTTCTAAGAACTCTAACCTGCTTTATATAGATAATGAAGAAGAAATGGTAAGATTTTCAATGTTACTAAAATTTTATTAAAAGCTTATTTTGATCAATATTATATTTGTAGAATTCATCCATATTTTTGTATATATTTTTAGTTTTTATTTTAAAGTCTGTGGTTATTCCATTGTTTGACTTTATTTATATTTTCATATCACTAATGCACATTTGATAATTTCCAGTTCTTGCTTTTCATAGAAAACCATGTTTCTATAAATGCTTTTTGTCCTAAAATAAACTTTTCTATTTAGTTATACCATACATCAAGGAAACTAAACATATCATGATTGTGCAGGTTGATCACAAATTAAAAAGACCTATGTGATTACAAATCAGGTCATGAAATAGAAGTTTCCAGCCCCCAGCAGCCCACCTCTGAGTGTACTCTCATCATTTCTCCTCCCTCCTCACTTAACCACTATTCTGATTTTTAATATTATAAATCATCATTGAAAAATTTTGAACTTTATATTATACAACATTCAGTATGATTTTTATATGTCTTCTTCACTCTCGTATTGTATTTTTGCAATTCATCCAATTTTTGCATTTATCTGTAGTTTGTTAATTTTAACCTCTGTATTATATGAATTTGACATTTTTTAATCTATTCTACAGAGCAAACATTTAGTTGCTTTTTAATATGTGGGTATTATAAATAATTATTTTATGAAAATCCTTGTGTACATATTATATTGCATTTTTATAATTTATATGACATGTAAATATGTCATATATAACAAATTATATTTATATAATATTATTATATTTGTAAAATATAACAATTTATAAATATTATTATATTATTATAATTGCATTTATGTATAATTATAATGTATTGTACTCTATGCGTCAGAATGAAATTGCAGGGTCATAAATATATGTCTATATCAAATTTACTAAATTATCTCAACATTTTCCTAGTTTTGTGTGAATACATATTTTATCCAATAGTTCCTTGATCCAAAACTTAGTACTCAGGAATTTTAATATTGTAGGTTCTGATTGTTATATAACAGTATCATTATGACATTAATAGACATTTTACTGATTACTATTTGATTGAACATATTTTTCTGAGCTCTTAATCATTAAGATATTCTCCTTTGGGAAGTGACTGTTCATGTCTCTAGTTCTGTCTACCCTTTCTCCTACATGTTGTCTATTTACCTTCCTAGATGTTTTTGTTATATTTTGGATATGAGCTTTTTTTTGGTTTTATGAGATACAAATAACTTTTTTGACTCTGTGACTTACATTTTTACTCTCATATTGGAATCTATTAATGACAAGAATTTATTCATGTTATTAGTGTCCAATTTAGCATTTTGGGCGTTAGTGATCATTTTGGACCTATTTCAGCAATTAGTCAAAGCTCATGAATATAATCTTCTGTATTGCTCTCTAGGTTTTATCTTTTTTCTTTAATTTTTAACTTTTACATTTAGGTCTATAATCCGTTGGGAATTTATATTTGTGATGCTATATTTGTGATGCTGTGAGATGGAAGTGAAGTTTATACTTTTCTACAACATTGCGTAATTTATGGAGCATAGTTTATAGCAAAGATGATCTTTTCTTCATAAATAGATTTTCATATATGTATGAAGTTATATACACACACATATAGGCTCTAATCTGCTTTATATGGATAATATATAATATATATTATCATTATATTGGTGATAATATGTATATAATATCACAGTCTATCCAGTCTATCATAGTCTACAGAAATTTGAGTGAAATGGAGAAGGCTTACCTTCCTTTATGTCCCTTTACTGTATCTATTTAAAATATAATTGTCTTATATGTTTCATCTACATACATTGAGAATCACATGGAAGACTGTTATAATATTGCTTCAACTTCTAATTTTGCTTCAACTATCAATTTGGAAAACACAAGAGGAAAAGGAAAGTCTATCATATGTAATGATATTTCCATTCCTTCTTTTGTTCTCTCTTCCTTCCTGAATATCCAAGATTTAATTTCTGCTTAGACGATTCCCATTAGCTATTCTTTTAGAGTGGACCTGATGGTGCCACATTTTCTTAGTTTTCTTTTATCTGAGAATGTCTTGATTTCCCCTTAATTCCTGAGTGATACTT